AAGAAGCATATAACAATGTTTCGTTTTTTTTTTCGAAACATTTATATAATTTCAACTTTTGATCAATTCAATTTATATAGAAAAAATGAAAAGAAATTGATCTACAAAGAATTAATAACTGATTAAATATTATAAAAAAAAATTTTAAATGTGATTTAAAATCATTATATGATTCAAAAGTCAATGTTTAAATCTAAAAGAAGCAAAAGAGGAAAAAAAGTGTACTTCTTAAAAAAAGAGCATTCGAATGCATAAGAAATGAAATGAATTATAAAAAAAAGAAAAGAAAAGAAAAAACAAAATTATTTTAAAAGCATCTTCGAAAGAGACTTAAAAATAGCAAAGATATTAAAAATTTGAAAAATTGATTTCGAGAAGGGTTAAGGGAAAACCTAAAAGAGATTAGAAATAGTTAAAGAAAAGAAAGGAGAGATCGGTAGACATGCCGTTAAGGGAAGACAATGCAATACGCTTCATGCATCTATTTCGTAATAGAATTGTACACTTAATTTTTAGTAGCAGGACGACGAAGCTACTACGCCAATTTTATGTATCATTAAAAAAAAAAAAAAAAATCTAAAGAACAATGAAAAATAGGAGGAAACGTGATTTTAATCCTCATCTGCCGGACTAAAAAAAAGATAAGAGAAGAAAAGCAGAAAATAAGAAGAAAAATGCACATAGTCATATCGAGTCACTTAGTGTTTTGTACATAGCTATACATACGAGGAAAGTTATTATATATATGTACACATTATATATACACGAGATGTGTGCGTGCGTATGTATGTGTGGGCGATAATGAAAGAAAACGAAAAGAAAAAACACTGATTGCTTGTGCGAGTTATTATAGAGAGATATGAAAGGAACAGGGAAGCATTTTTACGATAGAAAAATAGTTCCCTTTTGTTCTTTTATACTTATGTTACGTTATATGTGTTTATATCCAAATGAATTTCCTTTTGGGGGTGTGGCGCAATCTGTCGCTTATTCCACTCGGTTCCTAAGATCGGTTGTGCCGGCCCATGATGCATCTGTGAACAACGTCTGATGCACAGTATGTGAATGTGTGATTTGTACGTCGTTGTATGTTGAATTTTTCATAGGCGAAAAAAGTAAAAGGCGAAGAAAAGTTTTAACAATGTAGAGAGATGGTTTTGAAATTGAAGATTTATAGATAATTACCAAATGTTAAATTTATAAACTTATATTTCACATATTTCATTTATAAGTGGCACTTTTTAAATCTGGTTTTTTAATTTCTTAATTTCTTAGAAGCATAAAATTATTTTAAATTTGATTTAATTGATGATGATCGAATAATGTACAACTTGAATGATTTTGCATCTATAGCATTATTCAAATTTTTGTTTAATTTATTATTACATTCTCAAAACTTCAGAAGTATTCTATATTTTGTGTACAATAACAAAAATTGATCATTATTAAAATATATTTCATATTAATCTTGAGCTTGTTTGCATTAAACTTTAATAAGTTTAAGTTACTACAAAAGATAATGAAATCTTTCATTTCAACTAATAATCATTATTAAAATTAAACATTCAGAGAATTAAATAGGATATTATTAGTGAGTATCATTAAATTTAATCTTAATAAAAACTAGCATCTATTTAAGTTTAAAATTTTTTTTGCAACAAAATTAATCATGAGTTTTTATTGAAAGAATTTAATAAAAGAATGACTCTGATAATTAAACTGAATCAGTTTTAATTTGTACCACTTTATGTGATCAAAACCACTGCTCTACATGGATATTTTTCCTCTCGAATCGCGGCTGTATATATGTAGGTAAGCTATACGAGGCGTATGATTAAGAGGTAACACGTAGTCCGTGTAAGATAGAGCGGCAAGTAATGTGGCAGAATGATAGAATTGATAAAGAAAAGTTGGAAAATTTAATTATAAGTAGACAGACAACAGAATATTTAGAAATTGTTTAATAATTAAACCATTTTGGTGCTGTGATTTTTATTCTGTGGGTTTGTTAGAAGTGCATGAAATATGAGATTTTATAAAATTTCATTTGTATTATAACGAATGTTTCTTAAAATTTTTAAATAAGTATATTTGGATAAAATATTAAAAGTACAAAATCGGAAGATGCAACAAGTCTCAATTAATGATTAGGACAAGATAGATGAAAATAAAAGATAAAAATTCAATAAAATTTGATATTCATATCTGTGTATTTTATAAAGTCATCAATTGTCACTTAAATACATAAAAATTCTTAAAATTAGACCAATTAAAACGAAATTTTCAAATTTAGATCATTGTAAATAAATTATCCCTTACCATAACATAATATTCAAACCAAATTTTTAACTCCAAATCATAAAGAAAAAAAAATATATATATATATATAAAACAATTTTAATCGCACAAATCCACAGCACCAGAAGAATAAAACCTCAACTACTATCGTTCATCCAACATATATCTGTATCTATTACTATCATCTTCTTTTATAAAACAAAACAAATATTTAAATTATTCCCATTAATCTACTACGCTATATGTACATATAATTAGATTGTCAAGTAGTTAAAGTAGAATTTTCCAATACAACTAAAACAACAAACATAGAAAAATAATATAAATTCCAATCTTTGATTTCAAAAAATAAATATGCGTTCAAACGACAGTAGTTGAGGCCAGCGTCAAACGTTCATTTTGAAAAAGTAAAAAAAATCAAAAAAATAAAAAATCCACGAATTCGTTAGTACTTAAAGTGCGTCTATTAGAGTAAAAAAAGAAAGACGGAGAATTTGAGGAATGCGAATTCTTCTTTAGATGATTAAAATGAAACGAAGTCAAACAAGAAAGAGAAAAGAAGAAGAATGGAAGAGGTCTATATATATATATATATGCGATTTCGACTGCGCTCGAGAGAATAAATCCGCGCATTCCAACTAAGAAATAAGAAAAAAAAAAAAAAAAAATAAAAGAGAAAACACGATAAATGGGAGGAAAATCCCTGTGCCACGAAGCGAAACTTAGTTAGTAATATACTCTTCAAATAACCAAATCTTAGTACAATGTAGAGAGAGATCGAATAATATAAAAATGAAAGAAAGAAGAAAACGAATGATCCAGGCTGATGTACGCATGGCTGATCTTTTTCATACTTGTACTACTAGCGTACGATAATGCGTTCTCTGTACACACACTTATAGTATATATGTATGTATATATACATATATTTATATATTTGTATATGTATTGTATATTGTGTATTTTATATATACAAATATATATATGTATATATGTGTGTGTGTGTGTGTATTGTGTATATATGTATTTGTATATTTTAAACACGTATCATTGTGTACCTTGGAAGAATGGGAACATTGTCGAGAGACGGGGGAGGGACGCATCGGAGCTACGTCGAGCAATTGTAAACCGGATATTGACAGTTCCTTGATGCAGGGTCTCGAGTTCTCTTATAAGTTCGATCAAGATTAGAAAATCGATGAAACTTTTTTTTGAGTATTTGCCTCTTTCTACGAGTCGTCCGTTGAAAATTTATTGTTTCGATAAAAAGTAATGCTCAAAAAGTAAAGTTTTTAGAAAAAGTTAATTTAATTAGTGTATTTAATGTATAATGTGTTCATGTATATGAAGCATACATTATTTTAAAAATAATTTGAAATTTAAATTCGCGGGAGATAAATAATAATTATAATGATATCGTCTATTTCCTCATGTTATACATTGAAATTCAGTTTTATTGTTAACTTAATGTTATAGACCATAAGTTTACGGTAAATAATTTATCTGCAATTTTTTTGGTTTGCTTTATTTGTTAGAATCGTACTTAATCTTGAGATTTATGCTCTTTTAAGACCTTTAATTTTGTTAATAGATTTCAGATTTGACTTTATGCATGGATACTGAATCTACATATATTGTTTTCTAATTCCTTTTTTTTTTTTTTGTTTTAATTCAAGATTTGTAAGAATATTTATTTGCATTATAGACGGTATTTTTTTTTTTTTTTTATAGAAAAGCTCTTTATTTAATTGTAAAGATCTCTATATATATACTATTTTAATCATTTACTTTGCACTTATTTAGATTCACTTATTAAAGTTCTTATATTTTGGAATTTATATATGTTCATTTCTCAAGGTTTGCATTCCTTAATGTTTTGTATGAGTTTTTTTCCAATATCCATATATTTTTGGATTTATATTATTATTTTATTTACGTTAATTACATCCTTCATTATAATATATAATTTTTCAGTTATAATAGATATATGTATTAATTTTTAATTATTTTATACACTATTTTGTATAAAATACACTGTTTTGTACACTATTTGTATACACTATTTGTTATTACATGATATTATTATAAAAATACTGCAAACAATGGACGAATCTTTTAAAAAGGCAAATCGCTAACAAATAATTACAAATATGCAAAAATAATTTAACGGTATTATAAAAAATAAAAAAAAATAGAAAATCTCGATGAGATAATCACAAGTTCGATGAAATAGAACTCGTTAGAAATTCGCGACCCTAGGTTGCGAACCTGTTCCTAAATCGCGTCTCGTTCCAATCGAACAACCCCGTTATTCCGCCTCTGTTTTAGCTTTGTAAGAACACGACGAGCTTGCGACACTCTTTTCCTTCTTTTAACACCACCGAACGAAAAAATAATTTTATGTAACTAGCATGTCACAACAATTCTTTTACTTTTTTTTTTTTTTTTTTGTTCCTTTTTTTATTAAATCCTAATCCTGAAACATGCGAGGACCCAAATTTTTAACTTTCTGTTTTTTTTTTTCGTTCGATGCGAGCATAGAGTGTTTAAATTTATTCATGTCGTGTGATCATGCGCAGTTCATCTCCAACATTCACAATCTTAATCGTGCTCCGCGAACACTTTGCATCTTTGTATCTACTCGAACCGAAGGGATTGAAGCTCAATTTTCCTTTGCAATGAGGATTCACTGCCAGATTCGACGAACAAAATAATAGTGTATGCGTTCGATGAGCTCGCATCGATAATGTTATCGAATATATTATTTTCCATTTTGTATATTTTATCAGTTGTTTTCTTAATCTTTTCGTTCGAAGCAAAGCAACGCAATAGACATACCACTGATATACCTCAGGCACCGCATACACCGCTCGAAACAGCATGTATAGCTTTTTTTTTTTTTTAAATTCTCACTCGCAGCGAAAAAGTGTGCAGAAGAATAGAAAAAAAAAAAAAAAAAAACAAAATGTGAAAACAGATAAATTCAAGAATCACACTTATGCGTTAATTTTTAAATCTAGCACGTAAAATATGATTTTTAATCGGTTAATTGCGCGATCAATTGTATCAGGCGAGATAAAAGCCGGTACAATAAACTTTGTACATATCTTATTGTGCGTAGTATAACGCACGGGCGATTGAAAAATAAAGTATTAGTATTTTATACAGTCGTAAGACGTGTCTTCTTTATTTCTTATTTCTCTTTATCATTTTATTAAGATAAAAAAATACTATATATGAAAAAATTATTTCAATCTGTCTTTATATCATTCAAATATTCAATATTAATCACTCTTGTCTCTGAGGAATTTGTGCATAAAAAATAACTGCCGGCTGTGAAAATATCTATAGCGTAGATATAGAATTAACATTACATTTTTAACATTCAATACATTTTTTTGCTTTATTTTTTTCATTACTTAAAATACTCATACCATTATAATATTATCTTAGTGCTATTCGAATCAGAATAATATGATAATGTGATAAATTAAATTTCAATATAAAATTATACATAAGAAATAAAACTAATATTCTGTTATATAATATTCTGTAGGTACATTAAATATTGCATTTTACTGATATATTGTAAAGCCAAGAATGTTATATTTATATTTTTTACATTAAAAATTAAAACATATTATTGTTTGAAAAAGAAATTATGAAAGTATGTTCAAATCCCATACTTCATTTGTATTATGCGCCAAAAACAAATATAAAGAGAGCAAATAGTAAGAAAAGGACAGAGATAGGATAAAAATTCAACAATTAGCGCCATCTTCAGAGTGCCGTAGATTAAACACAAATATAGACAAAGAGAGCAAATAATAAAAAAAGATAGAGATAGAGTACGAATTGATTATTATCGCCATCTCTTGAGTATCAAAGATACTAGTACTAAGAACTAAGTACTAAAGATGGTGCTAATGATTAATTCTTACTTTTATTTCTGTCTTTGTCTTACTACATACTCTTTATTTTGTATTTAATTTATATGTACAATTATAAAATATAAATAAAATTCTTTCATTTTAATAATCCTTTATTCTACTGTACAATATTACGGTATTTTGTTTACAGTTCATATATATACAATTATATTATACGATAGTTGTCTTGTAAAAGATTCTATACGTTACATCAAGCTTTGTAATCTTTCATTTATATACAAACTTGGTAAAGAACTTGATTTTTTTTCAATTATCCGAGAAACGGTATAAATCGAATAGATGGACATGACTTTCAATTTTAAATTAAGACTTATAAGTTATTTGTTTGAGTATTATGAATAGATGCACACTGATGTCATGTTAAAGTGTTTGTAATATTATTCCATATTTTATATATATTTAAATATATTTAAATATTATCCATAATTATATTTAAATATCATTCATAATTTATATTAAGTTCTCCATCAATAAATTTATATTAATCAAAAATAATATGTATTATAAATTTTTGCGAAATGTTTAATTTTTCTAATATTTGCATAAAAGATTTATGATATTATAATTATAAATTTTTACTAATAATATATAAATATTATATATATAAGAAGAAAATGATGAAAAGATTAAAATTACATAACTTTAACATGACAATACAGATATGCCCTAAAGCATAAAATAACATAAAATGCAACATTATTTTTCAGTCTAACAATGAAACGATCACAATACACATTTTACGATTATTTATAATTTTTATATAATTTTTTGTTTTATAAAGGCAAATCAGTGTTAATATATAATAAGTTGTTTAAAAATGATATAAAACAAAATTTCAATTATAATCATTTAATTTTTTCTTAAAAAAAAATAATCTAATCAGATCATTATACGAGTATTTCATTATTTATCAACAACA